AATTAATTAATTAAAATACACAGTAGGCCAGGCACAGTGGCTCACACCTGTAATCCCAGCACTTTGGGATGCCAAGGCAGTCAGATCACCTAAGGTCAGGAGTTCGAGACCAGCCTGGCCAACATGGTGAAACCCCGTCTCTACTAAAAATACAAAAATCAGCTGGCGTGGTGGCATGCATCTGAATTCCCAGCTACTAGGGAGGTTGAGGCAGAAGAATTGCTTGAACTCGAGAAGTGGAGGTTGCAGTGAGCCGAGATCACACTACTGCACTCCAGCCCAGGCGACAGAGCAAGACTCAGTTTCCAGAAAAAAAAATTATATATATACACACATATAAAAATATGTATATATTACATGTTGACTGAAAAGAAAAAAACTAAAAGTACACATGTATATAATATGTATATATAGTATATATATACATATAGTGTGTGAGAGAGTGCGTGTGTGTGTGTGTGTATCATATTAGATTGTGCTCAGTGCTGCGCAGAAAACTAAGGCAGGAAAGACAGTGGAGGGAGTTGCAATATTAGAGAGGCAAGGCCTCCCTGGCAGGTGATATTTGAATGAAGGGCCAAGGGAAGTGAGGATGTAAGCCAATCACATATCTGGAAAGAAAGCATTCCTGACAGAGAAAGCCTAAGAAAGGTTCAAGGAACAGAGGAAAAGGCCAGTGTGGCTGGCGTGGAGTGAGTGAGCAGGGAGTTGGAGAGATGTTGGTAAGCTGCTAAGAGCAGAGATGATGAGGGCCTATGGGGACTGCCTGCACTCTGCACTCTGCCTTTACCCTGAGAGAAACGGGAGCCACTGGAGGACTGTGAGGAGTAAGATTATCTGGCTCGTATCTTATTTTTTGAGATGGAATCTCACTATGGTGCCCAGGCTGGAGTAAAATGGTGCAATCTTGGCTCACTACAACCTCTACCTCCCAGGTTCAAGCGATTCTCCTGCCTCAGCCTCCCAAGTAGTTGGGACTACAGGTGCCTACCCGCACACCCAGCTAATTTTTGTATTTTTAGTAGAGACGGGTTTTTGCCATGTTGGTCGGGCTGGTCTTGAACTCCTGACCTCAGGTGATCTGCCTGCCTTGCCCTCCCAAAGTACTGGGATTACAGGTGTGAACCACCGCACCCAGCCCTGGCTCCTACTTTAAAAGGATCACTCAGGTGGCAGTGTTGAGAATATACTGAAAAAAGACAGGATTCTTTACCGGAGGCCCAGTCAGGAAGGAAGCTCTTGCAAGAATCCAGGGACAAAATGACAGTGGGTCCGACCAGGGTAGTCAGATTCTGGATATATTTTTAAAGCAGACCCAAGAATTTGCTGAAGGCTCAGCTGTGGGATGGGAGACAATGCAAGGAGCTATGCGTGACTCCAAGGTTTTGGCTCAAGTAACTAAGAGAACTAAGTGGCCATTTACAGAGAAAAGTGTCCAGAATAGGTTTCCTGACTACAGGCTGCAGAACAAGGAGAAATGCAAGGTCCTCTGGAATCCAATCAGAAAGGCGAGAGGGCTGGGTGACACTGGGAAAGTGCATTGGTCACTGTGTTTCAGGGCAGGGTTTCAATCCCTGGGAGGCAGGCTGATAAAAACAAGGCACAGGGAAATGAGGCAGGTTACCATGGGATTCTGGCACACAGGAGCCAGACAAGAGTCCAGTTATCAGAGCTGAGGCACAAGGCCAGCAATGGTGACTTGAGGCCAAATTACAGTGTAAGGCAGCCTCAGTCCCTCTGCTTCAGTTCAGGCTGGGTCCTAGAGCCGGGTGAGAGGCTGGCTAGTCAGGTTCAAGTGGCCCCAGGAGACCCAGGGGAAACGGCTACAGAGGCCAGAAACCAGACAGACCCAGCTCTGTCTGCACTCCACCATATTACCAGGGTAAGGTCAGCATATTCCAGGCGGATTCTATGCCTTTAACAGATCATCACTATGTGAAAGGTCCAGACGTGTAGCTGGACGAGCTCCTCAAAGAGGGGCATCGATTGTACATGTCTGAGACCTTGGCTGGGGGGCAGGGGAGCCAGGCCCTGAGATAGGAAGGGGGCATGCGGGTCTGTCATAGGACTGTAAAACAAAAGCAAGAAACGTTCTGGGGCCCAGATGGGAGACAAAGGCAGCTACCACCACCTCCCTGTCAGCAATGGGAGAAAAGGCAACCCTCAAGGGGAACAGCTCCAAACATGGGGGAGGGAGAAGCTGCTCCCAGACTGTGAGGGGGTGCTGGGGGGGTGGGTCATCCTACTTAGAAGTACAAGGTTAAGGAAAGATGCTAAGCTAAGCTTATGATTGTTCTAAGCTACATTTGCTAAGTTTGTTCTCAGACTCCCAGGCACTGATTAAACTGTTTTCTACACATTGTCTTCCCTGGCTAGAGTATAAGACATTTCTGCCAAAGAGAACTTTTAAAATTAAAACAAGGGGCAAACATCTGTAGAAGCTCAATCTGATAATTTGATTAATGTATTTTTCATATTATATTACAAAGATATATATGCAAATATACATATATAACCATTTGGTGATTTATTATAAGAAGAATTCTGATGGCTGGTACTAAAACTGAAATTAGATTTATTTTCTAGAAATAACAGGTCAATACATACTATTAAGCAATTAGAAAGTAGTCACTGGAAAGTAGTAGACCATAGCAAATCTTCTATTTTAATATAAAAGAGTCTGCATCAACTCTAGGTTTTTTCTTAATATCTCTCTGACAACTGTAGATTTTCTGTGCATACTTGTACACCATAAATTAATGGTCCTTTTGATTTTCACAAAAGTTGTCCATTTTCAAACAAATTAAGTCTTTAAGTCAATATATGAGAGGTATTACACAAACCCATGAAGCCCCAGTGAAACATTTGCTAGGCAGACTGGGTCACTCACCAGCCTCTAGGCCTGTGTGATTAAATTTTGTTCAGTAAATATGCAAACTACTTTATGTCATGAACTTTGGAGTCATTCTTGAATAGTCAACACACACTTGGAACGTCAGGTCTGAAAAAGCTAAGGATCTCCTGTTCTTAAGGTAATAAATCTCCAACTCTATCAGTGTAAGAGTTTTGCTAGGGTAAATAGCATTGCCAAAAAGTAATGAAACCACATGTAACAATCTTGGCGTTATTTCTACCCTTTGACTTCAGAATTCTGCTTGTGGAAATCTATGATCAGAAATATGGAGGACTCACACATAAAAGTGTTTGACAATATTATTCATAAAGAAGAATCAGAATCAACCAAACTGTCCAACATTGGGGAAATGCTTGCAAATTATAAGTCATATATAATATCATTTAGCTATTAATATTATACTTACAACATAGTTTAATGACATAGGGAAATAATTATTACATAATGGCTGAAAAAGAAAAAAACAGAATATGAAGAGTGAACCTGTATAAAGATACACGAAAAATAAATTTAACATTAAAATGGTAATCCCTAGTTGATGAAATATGGCTTAATTTTTCGTGTTGCTTTTTAATGTTTACTTATTTTCCAAAATTCACACAATGAACACATACTACTTTTATCATGAAAAACAAAGAATTAAGGACCAAGCTATAAACAAATGCAATGTATTTTCCTGAATGTGAATGTTTAAAAATGGAAGCTAAAAAAGAAAGAAAGTCCAGGCATGGTGGCTCATGCCTGAAATCCCAGCACTTTGGAGGCCGAGGCAGGAGTTTGCCAGCCTGACCAATATGGTGACACCCTATCTCTACTAAAAATATAAAAATTAATTGGGTGTGCTTGTGCGTGCCTCTAATCCCAGCAACTCAGGAGGGTGAGGCAGTAGAATGACTTGAACCCGGGAGGTGGAGGTTGCCGTGAGCCGAGATCGTGCCACAGTACTCCAGCCTGGGTGACACAGCAAGACTCTGACTCCAAAATAAAAAATAAAAGAAAAATAAAAAGAACACTAGAGTTAACGTCTTCGTGCTATAGTTATGGTATATACACCTAGTCTATCAAACTTGATTAGAAGCTTCTTAAACTGATACTCTGAATTTTCTTCATAAACCCGATAATATCTTACTCATAAAAACACTTAATAAATACTTATTAATGAATAAATTCAGGACAAGTTACAGTAGTGCTTAATATAATAAAAAGTGATTTTTTTTTTTTTTTTTTTTTTTTGAGACGGAGTTTCACTCATGTTACCCAGGCTGGAGTGCAATGGCGCGATCTCGGCTCACCGCAACCTCCGCCTCCTGGGTTCAGGCAATTCTCCTGCCTCAGCCTCCTGAGTAGCTGGGATTACAGGCACGCGCCACCATGCCCAGCTAATTTTTTGTAGTTTTAGTAGAGACGGGGTTTCACCATGTTGACCAGGATGGTCTCGATCTCTTGACCTTGTGATCCACCCGCCTCGGCCTCCCAAAGTGCTGGGATTACAGGCTTGAGCCACCGCGCCCGGCCACATAAAAAGTGATTTTAATAGAACAAGTATTTCCTCGAATCTATACATGTTTGGGCAAGGTAAGAACAGTTGGGCTTTGAGGGATGATGACGCGTTGGTCTGGGCAATCAATTAAAAAGAGGGGTTGCCACATGGAAGAGCGTGAGTGGCGCCTTCTCTGGCAGAAACGACAGCACCCCAAGGCCAGCAACTCTCCAATTTGTTTTCTGCCCCCACACCAAGCAGTCACCTTTGACATGTGCGTCCCCCACCCCCACGTCCTAACAGGTGTAGGTCCTGGAAGCGCAGGGCCTCTCTTCCAGATACTCTCCCACTTCTCAAAACTGAAGTGAACAGCAGTAATGTCAGGGTGGGGATATCCTTGATTTAACTCTAACTAGTTTTTTTAAATAATTCTCAACCATTGGTACTTTATTAGTAAGAAACATAACTTGTAATGCAACTCACAGTGGAGTATAATGCCCTGGTGTGGGAGGATCCCTGGTTGAGAGCCGCTGCAGTAACTACAAAGCTACGAGCATTTAATCTACTGGGTGCTTCACACACGTTATCCGATTTCATCCTCACCAGTTAACACTCCTATTTCATAAATATGGAAAAGGGGCTTGGACTTGAATAGGTAAGCAGCAGTGCCAGAACTCAAACCCAAGCTGATGCCCAAGCCCATGCTGCAGTGGTGGCAGTAGAGGTGGCAGTGGTGGCAGTAGAGGTGGCAGTGGTGGCAGAGGTAATCACAGCAGTGGAAGCAGGAGTAGTCAGGGCAACTACAAGAGGAGGAAAACAACTCTAACGTGCTTGCTTGGTGCCAACCATTGTTCTAAGGGTGTTACATATAACAACTCATTTGTTCTTCTCAACAAATCTCTGATACTGGCATTATAACTATGCCCATTTTACAGGTGAGAAAAGTAAGCCAAAGAGATGCTAAGTGGTTTGCCCAAGGTCACACAGCTAGAAAGCGGCAGAGGCTGCCTTTGGATTCAGAGTGTGACCTTTTGCCCATCACACTATGCAGCCTCTGTACCGCCCTTAAGATTGTGCTACAATATTTGAAGGCAAAGTATATGTTGTTGCTTTAGTACTTGTGGCATTTCTTTTCAAATAGACCACTTGTTTTATTCCATGGATAGGCTTCTCAGCAAACGTTCCTATCTCTTCCAACTTTTCTGGCATGAAAATTTTCAATTAATGGAATCCAATTCAGTCTTTTAAAGCACTACCTGGAGGGGTATTATAAAGATCTTAAGTAGCCATGCTATCTCCGACCCTCCCCTGCACGAACTATTGAGAGCACGTGGGAGGTGGAATGAAAATGAGAATATTCCAGTTCTCTTGCTCAAGTTCTCATGGGTACAGATGTTCCTAATTCAGGGTCTGGTACCAATGTTCCCCCCCTCCTTTAATTTCAAACAAAGGCTTTATTCCAGATGATTAGAGATTAATGAGTTGTCTACTTTTCTCTCTCATCCCGTAAGTCTTATATTCAACATGTCTGGCTAGATAAAAAGGAAGGGAAAAAAGAACGATTCAAATATGGATTAAAAATACAACCACCATAATCTTGGTCACAGCTCCTATTTCGGGACAGATGCACATTCCAAAACCATTAAGTAACCCCTTAACGCTCTGTGCTTCTCACTATTTCCTTAGGCAGAATAGAAGAACATGCTGCTGGAAGTCAAAATCAAAGGCAAACCAGTGAGCACATCACACACAGACACAGTAAAAAAAAATCAGAGTTGCAAAGTGCATGTAGTTTGGGAGGCACAAACTCTTAAAAAGATTCGCCGGGCACGGTGGCTCAAGCCTGTAATCCCAGCACTTTGGGAGGCCGAGGCGGGTGGATCAGGAGGTCAAGAGATCGAGACCATCCTGGTCAACATGGTGAAACCCCGTCTCTACTAAAAAATGCAAAAAATTAGCTGGGCATGGTGGCGCATGCCTGTAATCCCAGCTACTCAGGAGGCTGAGGCAGGAGAATTGCCTGAACCCAGGAGGCGGAGGTTGCGATGAGCCGAGATCGCGCCATTGCACTCCAGCCTGGGTAACAAGAGCGAAACTCCGTCTCAAAAAAAAAAAAAAAAGATTCGAGACAAGGTCAGAAAAATGTCAATCTCTGAAAAAGAAAATAAGATACAACATACAATAGGTGACATTAGTAAACAGTGAAAAATCTTTCCCAGAAATAATTCATGCTAAAATAATTTATAAATGTGGTCTTCTAAATCTCATGCAGAAGCCCAAGGTCACTGCCCTGCCTCATTATATCTTAATAGTATTTGGATAAAAGCGGATTGTCTCAGGGCTGGCAGAGAGCACGCTGTACCAAGAGCAGGGCTGGCCGTGGGAAGAAAATATAACCTTGGGAACAAAATTCCTTCTCACTTCTAAGTTCTGAGCAGGTAACTATGCCACGAACTATGAAGAATGAACATACATGACCAGAAATTAGTTAGATGCTTGGGAAGGAATCTGTTTTCTTTACATCCCAGTTCCCTTAACACTCTCAAGCTCCAAAACTTCTTGGTCAAGGCCTCATGCCTCCCATTAGCTCAGTTTATCCTATGGATAATTATTATAATCCCCATTTTGCATATAAAAAACTAGGCTGAGACAGTTGAGGAAATGCCCACATCATCTATCAGGAGTGGCAGAAGCAGGACTCAAACCCAGGCCTGCCTGCCGCCTGAGCTCATCTTCCGCCCACCACAGCTCACCCTGAGGAGAACCAAAGGAAGCAGAGTTTACACCGCCCACACTCCAGGAGAAAGAACTAAAGGAGAGGTAATCAGGAGCAATGAGCAGCTGGAAGCTGACCGCAGAAACAGAGAGTTTCTGAAGACCATCAGCTGATAAAAGAAGCCACTTTGAGGTCTCTGTGGAGACTCTCTGATCTGTGACTCAAGACAGAACCATTTTGGAACAGTCTCTGAGATTCCAAGGTCATTTGTGGCTTAAAGCAGAGCAGCCCTTCTTCACGGAGGGGCAGTGGCCAGAGTGAGGCTGCTCAGGCCACAGTGCTGGACACAGAATTGACGGTGTTACACGAGGAATAAATGGGCTGCTGGCTTCTGTGGGGGGGCCAACTTCTTCGTTTCTATGCATCCTATGCCTCATATAGACCTGCTGCCACAGCAGGTGCTCAGGAAATGTTCGCTGAATTTATTATTTATTAATCAATTAAAGAGTAAAAAAGAAAAGCAGTTAACACCATGTTCGGAGTGGGGAGGGAGCAGAACACAGCACCCTCACGGGGTCAGTCTGTTCCTTTAGAACACGTGTGTGTGTGTAATGTAAGGGCACACCTACCATACAGGGTCAATCTGTTCCTTTAGAAGACGTGTGTGTGTGTGTGCATGTGTGTGCACGAGCGTGCACGCGCGCGCTAAGGACGTGCCCACCACACAGCCTTTCCGAGGAACTGCCACATTTACAACAAGAAATTCTACCAGCTGGAGATGTGATTCTGCAGGCATCCTCTTTTGAAAGGCAGGGTCAGTCTGCTCCTTTAGAAGACTAATCTGTGTGTGTAACGTAAGCACGCCCACCACACAGCCTTTCCGAGGAACTGCCACATTTTACAGTAAGAAAGTCTACCAAACTGAGATCTGACTTTGTGGGTATCCTCTTTTGAAAGGCATGTACTCAGAACGGTTAAGTGGAGGTTCAAAGTTTTTGATATGAACTTAATCAGGGTGCTTTGCTTACCACTCAAACAAACACTTCAACCAAGGCACAGAAATCTGATTGGCTGATAGAGACGAGCCGGGAAGGGAGGATCACCTTATAGCCCTGGGTTCTCCGGGGAAGATGAGGACTCAATCTGGTGCTGAAATCAGAACCTGGAACGCAGCAAGAGAAGGCCTACCTCCCCCAAGATCTCTCTCACCTCTCAAAACAGGGGGCAGTGCAGTCCAGTTTGGTGGCCACCAGCCACAGGTGGCCCCCGAGCACTTGAAATGTGGCTTTTGCAACCTAGAAACTGAATTTTTAATTGTATTTAATCTTAATTAATTTATATGAAGACAGCCACAAAGACTAGTGACTAACATACTGGACAGCAGAGGTGAGGGGGAGAAAGACGAGCACAGAGAAAAAGAGGTAGGAAATGATAAATACGAACTTCCTACTTTACAATTGTTGGTAAGCACTGTTTGTATTACCATACTATTGACGTTTGCTTAATACTTTAGTTTCCAAAGATGCGCATCTATTCTGCATTCATTAGATCCTTATGAACAACTCTACCAAGTAATTGTCATTATCATTGCTTATAGATGAGATTCAGAGAATTCTGTGATTTACCAAAGGAGACTCAGTTGGGGGGAGTCTAGTCACGTAACCCCAGCACTGTCCAGATGGCATGAAGAAACCTCACCTCTTCCTTTCAGAAAAAGGAAGTAGAGAACAGATGGGTACTTTGTTCATCTCATTGTTCTCTCCTCCACAATCTGAAAATATTGAATGAGAATCAGCCTCTCGTTTCACTCCATAAGCTTCTTGCCTGCTTGGAATTGAGCTCCTCAGCATCATTAGGAGTGCTCCCTGGGCCAGTGGGACAGGCGGAGCTCATCCTTCCCTTCAAACCTGTTTCTGCTCCCCTTTCCCAGGCTTGCTCAGCGAGGCAGGCAGAAGCTCTGGGAGGCTGGCTTCTACTGGTTCTGGATTATGTATTTTCCTTAAGAGGGATCCAAGGCATTCCTCAGGTTTACAAAGTGAAGGCATTCTTCTAGCTCTTTATTATCTTTCTCCAACTCCTGGGCTCAAGCGGTCTGCCCACCTCGGCCTCCCAAAGTGTTGGGATTACAGGTGTGAGCCACGGCACCGGCCTGATAGTATATCTAATAGCTATCAAAAAGGCTGGCCAGGTACAGCGGCTGACACTTGTAATCCCAGCACTTTGGGAGGCTGAGGCGGACGGATCACAAGGTCAGGAGTTCAAGACCCCATTTCTACTAAAAAATACACAGATTTCACTAACAAATGGTGAAACCCCATTTCTACTAAAAAATACAAAAATTAGCTGGGTGTGGTGGCACATGCCTGTAGTCCCAGCTACTCGAAAGGCTGAGTTGGGAGAATCGCCTGAACCCGGGAGGTAGAGGTTGCAGGGAGCCAAGATCGTGCCACTGCACTCCAGCCTGGGCGACACAGTGACCCCCACTTCAAAAAAAAAAAAAAAAAAAGACTTAGAAAATTTTTTCAAAAAGCTGGATTTTTTAATTTAAATTATTAATTACAATTTTACTAATTATGTTCAGATTCCATTTCTCTTTTCTAAATTTACTGAGAATTTATTTGGCCTAGTATATGATCAATTTACACTACACACACACACACACACACACACACACACACACACACACACCATGAACAAAGAGTGAAAACAACCCGAACGCCCAACAATAAGGGAGATTGTGGCTCCCTTATTATAGGGAAGCCACAATCACGCCTGTAATCTCAGCACTTTGGGAGGCCAAGGTGGGTGGATCACGAGGTCAGGAGTTCCAGACCAGCCTGACCAGCATGGTGAAACCCTGTCTCCACTGAAAACAGAAAAATGAGCTGGGCATGGTGGCATGCACCTGTAATCCCAGCTACTCAGGAGGCTGAGGCAGGAGAATCACTTGAACCTGGGAGGCAGAGGTTGTGGTG